GGGCTATCCCTGTTCTACAGGTAAAATGGTTTATTCCTGTGAAATGCTATATGCACTTTCTAGCAACTAGCATATAGTTTCTGCTCGGGTTCTCTGGTAGGACAGCACTACAGGGGAATGATTTTGCAAAGCCAAAATATCTGAGTGTTTTGATGTGAGCATATCTAACTTTGAGGTCTATTGTAGGCATGCTGGTACCGGGATGGCCTGTTTGGTGCAGCAGAAAGATCTGCAGTTTTGTGTCCCAGCCGCCAGCCGTGGAGCCCAGCGCTGGGGCTCTGAAGGCACTGAAGGTATCCCAGTTTTGGTGACTAAAATCTGTGACCGTATGCCTGCTGATTACGGTAATAGTAGGGTCTAGTGCTTGCTTTCACATTTGGGAAACTGAAAAAGAAAGTGTTAATGATAGGTTGCTGAACATTTTAAAAGTGCTAGAAACTAGGTGCTAGAAACAGATTGCTTGCTGGGCTCAACAACTGTAATGGTGATTTTTGCATTATCTTGTAGCTCCTGACGTGAAGTTGTGCTATAGACAGTGGCAAGTTGAGGAATCCCTGCAAGATTTCCAATCAGATTGCCTGAATGCTTCTTCTCCTGTTGTTGCCTTGGTCCTCATCTATTTAAGACCCTTCGAATTAGGAGCACACTGTTCCCATATGCTCAGGCACAAGGAACTGATTTCTATAAATTAAAAACGTGGCTAGGTTTTGATGAAGTACTTCATAGAGGTATCAAGGTTTCTCAAAGTATAAGTTGATAACCTGTAAAAGTCCAGCCTCTAAGGATTCTCCTCTCGATTACTTTTTCAGAATGGAAGGAGGAATTTTTCCTAAATTGCTCAGTGTTACTCCTTTCCTCTTGCCAGTGGCTTTGAGCATGGGCCCTTCTCTCCCAAACTGATTTTCTTACATTTTCCCATTCTGAAAACCCATCAAGCTTTACAGCCAGGTATCTGGTGAACAGCTCTATGGCAGGCAATGGGACTTCACAAAATTGGGCCCTGCTCTTTCAAAACCCAGGAAGCAATCCAGCTTGATAGCCAGCAAAGTGGGAATCTAAGCAGCAGGCAGAGGGAAGGCTGATGGAATGCAGACACGCAAGAAATACATGCCTTTGCCATGTGAACTTGATTTTCAAACTCAAGGTGTGAATCTGCGATATTTGGCAGCCTCACATTTATAGCAGATGGCCAAGCATGCCACACATCCCTGCAAAATAAAGTTGTGCACATTTGTATGTGATATTCTGTTGTCCATTCAGATGCTTACAGTATTCCCTGGATATTGAATATAGTTCCTGTTTTGCTAATCCTGTTTTATTTTCTTTAAATTCAGACATGCTTTTTTTCTTTTTTTTTTTTCTTGGCAATTTAGTGAAACAGAATTCCTCTGATTTTCTGTTGGGTGTTTTAGGGGGCAGATACTGCAGTTTCAAGCAGAAAAGAATCTAAAGCCCTAAGTATCAGAACAGCAGGACCTCTGCATAAATCAGATGTTGGTAAATCAGAGCTTCCTGTAACAGACATATAAATATAAGTTGTAAGGGATGACACAAAAACATTTAACTGCATGTGAGTATAACAGCTATGATGGCCATCATAGCACAAGTATAAATAGCACAAGTGTCTAAGTTGATAATAAAGCTGTATGTTGGCTTTTTATTTTTTAGTGGAAAGGCATCCCATTCCTGAATTGCTTTGTGTCTGTCCACATATGAATGGTTCAGATAGGAATATACAGATTTGCATTTCTCTGGGCTTCATAAAAATGCTACTGAAATGAGAGACTGGAGGAAATAAGCCTCTAATTGCGCAGCATATTAAACGACTGTTTCATTTCTCTCCACACACGCTGACTATAAATAAAACAAAAGTCTCTGAAAACCTGCCGGAAAGCTTTAAATCAGAGGAATATTGGGTCTTTGTGTATCCACAGTAGCCCAACTAAGTTGGTGGACACTGGCTTGGCTCCCAGACTGAAGCTCCTGGGGCTCTGTGGCAGCAGCACTAAGCCATAAACACCAGATGCAGTATATCTAACCGAATTAAATATCAGCATTTTATTGCAGTTGGCATTTCGGAAACACAGGGTGCATTTAAATGGTGCCAGTGGCTTCTTTTCCCACCTGAATCCCAGTTGCTG